TATACCTCGCACTCGTATGTAATTGTGATCTGCGCCAACGAAATTCCAATATGGCGTGCACAAACACACACACATGTACATATACATATATATGTACGTAGTGTCAGAGTCCAGAGTTGGGCAAAGCAGTTCACCAATACAGTTGCATCCAATTAAGCTTCGTTAAGATCAATTTAAAATCCCGCATAAAATATCAAATAGTTTTTGTACTTTAGTTCCATTTCTGCTGTCGCTATTTGTTGTCGGCTGTCGGGCAGACGCTCTCCAAGCCACGGCCAGCCAGCCAGCCAGCAACAACAGCAACGTTTCGAAATCCGCAGCCCACGGTACGAGACAATGTCTCCAAGTCGATCGGGCCCCAGGCCCCGACATGACAAAGATGTATAGTTTTTCATATTTTGTTAATTCTCTATGGCACTTTGGGGTTGCAGTTGCCCATTGTCCACTTGTTGCCTGTCCACTTGTTACCCCCTTTAGCATAGCACTTTACATGATGAGACTCTGCGCAGGCTCCATAACAACGGATGTGCGGACGTCTTTGACATCTGACCCGTACGATCACGAGCTATAAGAGTATTTACAGCCCTCAGACACGGCAACTGCCTAGCTGACTCGTGGTCATAAATGTTTTTCAAAAACTATTCCAATACTTGAATCGTGCTTTGCACGTTAGCTAAATCGCAGCTTATATAAATATTGGTCTAATACTAATCTAATAAACACTGGATTATGTAAACAGTTCTGTGAAAACGTAATACGATGACACTTGTAAACTAAGAAAATATAAATACATATGATAAATTCTATTTTTAAGGAAAAGTATTTCATTTGAAAATAAAATTTATTTTTCATTTATTATTTAATTGCTATGATATTACATATATTTTCAACTTTATTAATATTATCAAGACACAATGTCTGTTGCGACCCACGAATTTTTTATAATATGGAAGATTCGAAAATATATATGTATATATGTGCATTCAATCTCCTCTGCATATATTATCTAAAACATATTCTCTTAATCCTAAATGAAAACCCCTTTGGAATTTATTTTAATCTTATATA